TCACCACTGTTGTAGATTTAATTTATTATTTCTGTAATCTTGTCTATGCCAAAATCATCTAAGTCTGCTAGCATCTTTATTATAATTCCGTCTGGCCCTGCCACTTTGTTTCTGCTCAATTTGTCTAGTGCTACTTCCACTTTGGTTTTTAGTATTTCTGGCCAGTCGTTATTTCTGTCTGTTGCCGGTTGTTCTCTTGTCATGGAAAAGATCACTAATATATTCGTACCAGCACTGAAGAATTTTTCTTTCACTAATATGAGCATTCCATCTTTGGATTTTATGCATGTTGATGAGCATGTCTTCTGTCTTGTTAGTTTCCTTATTTTTTATGCATATCTCCTTTATCTGTGATAATTATTCTCTCTATTTTGCACATTTTTCGTTGAGCCATTGTTATTTAACCTGCGTTTATTTCCTCCTTATTTTATTGTCTAGTTTGTACTTTATTTTCATTGTGTAATTTTCTGTATCTGTGTATCTATATTCCATTCCATGTATTGGCATTGTTTTCTGTCTCGTTTGCATCATGTTGAAAATCTCATCTGTGACCCATTCATTTTTTTTTTTCTTATTCGTCCAAACATTAAAAATGAAAAACAAAATCAGAATTACGTACCTGAAAAGATAAAAAAAAATGAAGTCTTAGTTTTTTTTCAACGATATTTATTCTTTAAATTGTTATAGACAAGCGTATGGTTGCAAGAAAGAAATACGACAACAGTAGAAATAGATTTACGTGGTTTATTTCAACTGGAACGTGAGGGTTCGGGACAGCTACCTTGTGGTAAAGTTCATAAGCCGGCGGTGGCTGATGCTCTCCTGCTGCACAATAGTGCACTTTAAATATTATTTTATCTTTCGACCGGAACACGTGTGTCGGAAACATTTGTAAAGAAAGATAATGGTCATTTTGTGACGGGGCTTTGTCCCGTTTACATCCGGTTCTCGCTCTTGAGTATTTGCCTGTAAATCAGCCGAGATATGTCTTATTTTATCTTATAACAAAATTGTCTTGAAAGTTTCCTTAAAATCCGACAATTAATAATAAAATAGAAATTACGTGCCTGAAAATGATAAAAAAATGAATGTTTTCCTTTTTTTCAACGATGTTCTTTTTTAGAAAAAGGGTTCACCCATGACATTATATTTTTTAGAAAAGCTTTCAATTGTTTAACAAATTTAAACCAATTTAATAAAAAAAAAGAATTCATTATTTAATAAAAGCTTCACTTCTACAAAGAAACAATAATTTTATTTAATTGCAAAAGAAGAATTTATATAACTTAAATAAAAACTATTCATTTAAAGCTTCAGTTTTTAAAAACAGAATGCACATTTTAAAATAACTTTCGTGAAAATTGTACAGTAATCAAGACGAATAAGAAGATACAAAAAGCAGTGAAAATGCCGTTAAGTAAATTCCACTCGAGGCAAGCGTATGTAAACAACACCAGTAATGATGGTCGGACAACGCGATAGAGATCGAAGTTACACTGTCGATAAATTCTAAACGTAATCGAGCGCAAACTTTTATTGTTATTTTCGAAATAATCAGGCAATTTCACACCATAATGGAATATGACCGTGGTTTTTTGTAAGTACCTAGATAAAATACCTTATTTTCTTTCAGATTTGTGAGGATAATCATACACTGAATAGTTACTTAAAAAACAGTACTTACATTTTTCAGTCCAGTTTTGAAAGCTAGTCTATTGCTGTACGTGTCGTAACTTTTCTGTTTTTTTAACAAGATAATTTTTTTACCAACTATTATTAATTAATTCTTAAATTTAGTAATTTACTTTGAAACAAATCTCTTGGGCAAATATTGGATCGTATTTTAATTCTGTTGTTTTGAATTTTCGTCAATAATAAAATTTTATGAAAAATAAAAAAATCAAATTGTATTTGTGATACGATATTCTGGCATATTCTGTGCACCCGGACTATTTTGGAGCAAGGAACACATTCTTCGTTTACACCGTTTCTCGTAATGCCTTTGTTCTCTTCGACATGCTTTCTATTTTTAAACAATTAATCTTTTTTAATTTCAATTTCTTTTAAAATAGGAAGTTTTATTAATTACAAAATATTGCCGATCTCGAGAAAGAAATATCAAGTCCAACAACAACAGCAACGCAATCCTGTTTGTTTTTCTATGAAAAGGTAAGTCTCGAAAAAAAAAAGCATTTTTAAATGTCTTCTTTGGAAGAAATTTAGTTTTATTTGAAAGATAATAGCTTAAAGCGAATGAAAATTAAAAAGAAAAATAAATTTCCGTATATAAATAAACTAATATTTTATTGATTTTTACTTTTGAAGATGTTTTATGAAAATAATAAAATTTTAAATAATATAAAATTTTAATTTTGTTTTTATTATTAATTCAATTGTCATCATGATGGTTATTTTTATAGTACTTTAAATTTTATTATTAATTGCGTAATTGTTTAAACTTGTATTAATACCCTAAACAAATTGTTGCTATGCATAATAGTAAAAACTGAAAAGACTTTCAAAAATATTTTGTGACCCTTTTGTTTCCCATTGCCTCTTCAAGCATCATTGCTAGACTCATTTTCAAAATACATGTCCCGCATGAGATGGTGCCAACTTCATATTAATAGTCAGCTGCGTCACATTGAGACATGAAATTGTATCAAAAGGATTTGCATAACTAATGATGTAGCTTGTTGCAGCCCCAGTAGGGTGCAGTGCTGGTTGATTACCAAATGGCCTTGTGCCAGACACCACACTAAACTACTGAGTCTACAAGCAAAGTAGAAATAGATAAAATTGCATGAATGAACAACGAAGGAATGTGAAAAATCCACACGTGCATAAATAAAATATATTAACAAGATAGCCTCCTCGGAATGACTGAAAAAGACTGGTTTTCAACAAGAGTAATTTTTATTAAAAAACAGGAAAAACAAGTAATTTGTCCCGTGGTAGGGACCAATGAGAAAGTTCCGCGCCAAAATGGAAAAGCAAGATGGCTAAAGGCGGGAAAAAGGTTCTTGAAGAAGAAGTAGATACCAGATAAGTCAAAGCACATGATAAAATACATACAAGGAAAAACTACTCACTGCGATTTTTTTGTGTGTTAATGTGAGTGAAAAGTTTGTGTATATATTTTTTTTTTTTTTTTTTTTTTTTTTTTTTTGGTGCAGGTTCAAAACAAATTTATGACGAGGCCCAAGCGGATAAAAAAGTTAATACTTAGAGATTCGTCGCCTCGAAGAAGGATTTTTAAAGACGAGCCAAAAGGACGAAAAGTTAACACTTGGAGAAGCATCGCCTCGTAGTAGGTTTCGAACAAAGAGCCCCAAAGGGACAAGGAATTAATTATCGGGTGTTCTCATAGTCTTGAAAAAGAATTTCCGAATGACGAGCCAAAAGGTCGAAGAATTAATTATTTGGTATTGCATCGTCTCGGAAAAGGATTCTTGAATGAGCAGCCAAAAGGGACGAAGAATTAATTATTTGGTATCGCATAGTAAGATATCCTTCGTCAGTCAAACTGAAATATTGACATGGATAAAAATGAGTCTGCTCGGTCAGAGCCTGGAACGCCAACTGACTTTTTTGAAACAACAGTTTGTCGTTGACGTCACAAATTTTTCGCGGCAAGATTTCAAAAATCTAATTTGCATAAACAGTAGTAGCAAGTCGCTTTGGTTGGTGACCAAAGCAGTTACTACTGTATTAGACCGAACGAGGGAGAAAGGGAGGTGTCAAACGCGCGCGCGCACACACACGAGTGACGGAGAAAGGGAGGCAACTCGCGCGCGCGTAAAATGTCGTAGATGGAATAATACATTATTCCACACAGCCCTCCTCCTGGATCAAATGTCGCAGACATTTGACTAATAATAGTAGAATGTTTCAAATTTCTTTGGAAAGGTGACTTTTCGACCGGAGCTGGTATACTTAGGCTTGTCGAGAGAAACAGGTGTCTTGACATTCTCCTGAACTTGCGGAGTTGATTGGGAAGTAGTATGAGACGACGGTTTCTCTATAAAGGCAGGTTTCAACCGATCTATTGAAACGTTGTCGGTGTGAATACCTTTTTGTATTTGGAAATATTTGTCCGCGCGTTTAAGAACGCGGAATGGGCCTGTGTAGGCCGGCGTAAGAGGCCGCTTAACAGAGTCGTTACGTACGAATACAAATTCACAGTCTTTTAGCTGGTGCGGTAAATAGATATCACTCGGGCAGTGCCGCGGTGGTGTATAGCATAAGTTTGCCATTTTAAGGCGTAAGTCCTGAATAAAAGAGGAAGAAACTGGTGGTGTGGTCACAGCTGGTGAAAAATATTGGCCAGGTAAAGATAACGAAGTACCAAATACAAGCTCTGCAGGGGAGCATTTCAAGTCATCCTTAAGAATATTTCGTAACGATAGAAGGATGAAGGGTAACTCATCGACCCAATTATTATTCTCATGCTTCGTTGATAGCGAAGCCTTAAGGGTGCGATGGAATCGTTCCACCAGGCCATTAGCACAGGGGTGATACGCAGTAGTACGTATGTGCTTTGCACCAAGGAGTTCAGTGAATTCCCTGAAAAGACACGACTGGAACTGTGCTCCTCTATCTGTAGTAACCACTTTAGGAGTTCCAAAAATCGAAATCCAGTCGCTTAAAATAGCTTTTGCGACAGTCAGAGCAGTGGTATCTTTGACAGGGATGGCAGTAGGCCATCGGGAAAAACGATCCACTATAGTTAGAAGGTAGGAATAACCGTGGCAGGTTGGTAAGGGCCCAACTAAGTCCAGGTGTATATTAGTAAAACGAGCATCAGGCTCACTGAAAGTGCCCACGGGAGATTTTGTGTGTCTATGCACCTTACACTTCTGACATTGTAAACAAGTATTAACCCATTCGCGAATGTGAACGTTCATATTCGGCCAGACGAAACGGTCCGAAATTAACTTAACTGTGGCTCTTTTGCTAGGGTGTGAGAGTCCGTGTAGGTGGTCAAAAACCTGTCTACGAAGAGACGGAGGAACATAAGGTCTTGGAGATTTGGATTTTACATCACAGTATAGGACCTTGTTACTAAAAGGAGCTGGACATTTCTGAAGTTCTAAAGAAGTGTCTGATAACACATGCTTCAGAGTCATGTCCGCTTCCTGTTCGTCGGCGATCAAATCTTGACTGAGTGCATCAGTATGCACGACGAACATTTCAGTACGAGATAGGGTATCGGCGACAGTGTTATCCGAACCCTTAATGTACCTAATATCAGTAGTAAATTGCGATATATAGTCCAGGTATCTGATCTCCCTCGCAGTGTATTTGTCCGAATTAGTGGACATAACGGACGTTAAAGGTTTGTGGTCCGTAAAGATGACGAAGGGCCTACCTTCGAGGAGGTGTCTGAAATGTTTAATAGCACGAAAAATAGCCAACAGTTCACGAGAAAAGGTACTGTAGCGTGACTGGGCAGGAGAAAGTTTAGCGGAAAAGAACGCTATAGGTCTACGTTGAGAAGGACTGACTTGTTCAATGACCGCGCCTATTGCTGTTTCGCTAGCGTCAGTGGTCAGGTAGATATCCGATTTAGGGTCGTCCTCTAAGAAACTAAGCTTAGAAAAATTGCCTAGAGCGGTTTTAGCTGCTCGAAAGGCGTCCAAGGCTTCGTTCTCAAGTATAATAGTCTTATTCTTCTTCTGTAATAAGTTGGTAAGGGGAGTCAGGATGTTAGAACAGTTTGGAATAAATCTCCTGTAGAAGTTGATCATCCCTATAAAGCGTCTCAACTGTTTAATAGAAACAGGGACGGGAAACTCAGTGATAGCTTTAATCTTTTCAGTTAAAGGGGCAATTCCATTTGCATCGACATGATGTCCTAAAAATTCTATATGGTCTGCTCCGAAGACACATTTGTCCAGGTTTAGACGAAATCCGTAATGGGACAAACGTTGAAGAACTTCGTGTAGGTGTTGTTTATGCGAGGCAGCGTCCTCGCTAGCTATCAGAATGTCGTCAATGTAATCGAAAACAAAAGGGAGTCCACGCAGAACCTCGTCCATAAGACGTTGAAAGGTTTGTGCTGCGTTGCAAAGGCCGAAAGGCATTTTCAAAAATTCAAATAAACCGAAAGGTGTAGTAACAGCAGTTTTCGGGACATCAGCAGCAGCTACTGGCACCTGATAATATGCTTTAGCGAGATCTATTTTAGTAAAAATCTTTGCGCCTTGTAAACCAGAAGTGAAATCGTGGAGGTGGGGGATTGGATAACGATCCCGGACGGTGATGTAATTCAACCTTCTATAATCCACACAAATTCTATAGTCCTCCTTTCCTGGTTTAGGTACCAAATGAAGAGGGGAAGCGTAAGGACTGTCGGACGGACGAATAACACCCTCTCGAAGCATGTCGTCGAAAGCTTTCTTTGCGAATTTTAATTTGTCCGGTGCTAGACGACGAGGACGGGAAAAAACAGGTTGACCAGTGGTCTTAATACAGTGCTGTGTTTGATGTTTAGTTGAATCAATAGATCCAGCAGGACGCAGGAGGTCCTGGTACTGATTCAATAAGTCTAAGTACTCTTTATTGTGGCACGTTGCCACGGTGATGCCAGTGGTAGTAAGTTTAGAATAAGTGCCAAGAACACACAGTCTTGTTAAGTTGTCAGTCAGGGAATGGTTGTTCATTCGCACGGCGAGATCATAGTGCGCCAGGAAATCGGCACCTAGTATCGGCATCTGGACGTCAGCAACAGTAAAATTCCAAGTAAAGTCTCGTCGCATCCCTATGTTTAGGGTAAGGGACTTCGTACCGTAAGTATTAATACTGGAACCATTTGCTGCTTGTAAGCGGAGCTGAAAAGGTTGTTGACGAGCTTTATCACGCACGGGTAAGACACTAATGGCAGCGCCGGTATCAACCAAAAAACGTAAATTATTACGTGTGTCCGTCACATAAAAAAGGCGACTAAGTTTAGGTGAAAATGCCTTGCCAGCGAGATTAGTCGCTTTCACTCGCTGGCGGTTTTGTTTTCCGCGACCGCAGTATAAGTACACGGCTTGACGCAGTAATGAGCTTTAGACCCAAATCTTCGGTGGTAGTAACACATAGTAGACGTAGCATCTTTGTCCCGGCTGGACGAGCGTGGTCGACTTCTGAAGCGCCGGCGGGAGGGGAACCGGCTTCGACCACGGCTCTTTAGAGCTAATGTTAAATCCTTAACTTGGCGCTGCAAATCCTCGACTGTTTTTTCCAAGGAGCTGTGGTCCCTAGTCGCTTCAGCACTGTGTACCGGCGTTGTCTGATTATCCAGTTGCGAGAAAATACGATCCGCGGCGTCCGCTAATTGATCGATCGAGGTGTTTTCGGACATTGGCGCCAAAATTTGGGTTATGGTGGTGGGGAGACGGTCCAGCCACAAGCTTTTTAATATAGAGTCAGCCATGGTATTTTTGCCGAGTCGGCTTTTCATATAACGAAGAAGTTGGGAGGGAGTCCTGCCATCACAAGTTAGGTTGCTAAATAGTTCCCGGATTAATGACTCCTCTGTACGGCCCATTCTCCTTAAGATTGCTTCTTTTAACCGCGCGTAGGGTTCTACTTCAGGAACGGCTTCTAAGAAGTCTGAGACCTCATCAACAATGGCGGGTGGCAAAACCGCCACCACGTGGCCAAACTTGGTCTTTTGGTCTGTAATCCTTCTGACTGTGAAAATGGCTTCCATTTGTAAGAACCAGTTCTTTATATTCCCTTCATGAAAGGGGGGAAAAGGAGCGACGGCGGCGGACATGTTCGCCAACTCTTCAGAGTCATTAGTCGTCATTCCGGCTATCGAATTTAAGCACGTTTATATTTCAGCTTGCTCAGAAATATGTTAGCAAGGTTGCACAATTATTACGTGTTCAATCACGTCGGGGTCACCAAATTTTGTTGCAGCCCCAGTAGGGTGCAGTGCTGGTTGATTACCAAATGGCCTTGTGCCAGACACCACACTAAACTACTGAGTCTACAAGCAAAGTAGAAATAGATAAAATTGCATGAATGAACAACGAAGGAATGTGAAAAATCCACACGTGCATAAATAAAATATATTAACAAGATAGCCTCCTCGGAATGACTGAAAAAGACTGGATTTCAACAAGAGTAATTTTTATTAATACAGGAAAAACAAGTAATTTGTCCCGTGGTAGGGACCAATGAGAAAGTTCCGCGCCAAAATGGAAAAGCAAGATGGCTAAAGGCGGGAAAAAGTTTCTTGAAGAAGAAGTAGATACCAGATAAGTCAAAGCACATGATAAAATACATACAAGGAAAACTACTCACTGCGATTTTTTGTGTGTTAATGTGAGTGAAAAGTTTGTGTATATATTTTTTTTTTTTTTTTGGTGCAGGTTCAAAATAAATTTATGACGAGGTCCAAGCGGATAAAAAAGTTAATACTTAGAGATTCGTCGCCTCGAAGAAGGATTTTTAAAGACGAGCCAAAAGGACGAAAAGTTAACACTTGGAGGTGCATCGCCTCGTAGTAGGTTTTGAACAAAGAGCCCCAAAGGGACAAGGAATTAATTATCTGGTGTTCTCATAGTCTCGAAAAAGAATTTCCGAATGACGAGCCAAAAGGGACGAAGAATTAATTATTTGGTATTGCATCGTCTCGGAAAAGGATTCTTGAATGACCAGCCAAAAGGGACGAAGAATTAATTATTTGGTATCGCATAGTAAGATATCCTTCGTCAGTCAAACTGAAATATTGACATGGATAAAAATGAGTCTGCTCGGTCAGAGCCTGGAACGCCAACTGACTTTTTTGAAACAACAGTTTGTCGTTGACGTCACAAATTTTTCGCGGCAAGATTTCAAAAATCTAATTTGCATAAACAGTAGTAGCAAGTCGCTTTGGTTGGTGACCAAAGCAGTTACTACTGTATTAGACCGAACGAGGGAGAAAGGGAGGTGTCAAACGCGCGCGCGCACACACACGAGTGACGGAGAAAGGGAGGCAACTCGCGCGCGCGTAAAATGTCGTAGATGGAATAATACATTATTCCACAAGCTGACATATTCACGACTGACATCATCAACTGTCCAAATGTGTTTCATTTTACATCCAACTATCTGCCCAGTGATTATTTCATGCAAGACCTGTGCAGACTGTAGATGATATTTATCAAAGTAGATATTGACACATCTTTCTGTTGCATTATCAAGGCTCTCCTCCTTCTTTCCAGCTGGGCCTTCTTACCTTCGATCCTTTTGCAAATTTCTTTTTCAACTGTTCAGTGCTTCATCTTCTTCAGCCCAGTCTTCTGTTTGCTACAATTCATTGACAACTGAAGGTATTTGTTGATTTCACTTGGCTTTGATGATGGAGGCAATCAGTAGGGACTCTATCACTTTCATTGGTAATATATTTCCAACAAAATCTATTGTGGAGATGAAAATAGACATGGGGTCCTTGATGAGTACCTTCAGATTGTCAATGACCCCCTTGACGATGTTCTTAGTGTTGATGGGTTCTTTTTGGGTATTTACACTAGTATAGAAGGTACTCATCCAAGGCCCAGTTAGCATCTTCCCTATGATTCCCGTCACCTGCATCTCTGCGATAGTGGCTTCTTCTGTAAATAGCTGCTACAAATTTACAATGATTTTATTTGTGGAGGAAAGTCCCAAGACAAATTTTTTGCATTGTCCAAAAATGGGAAAGTAAATTGCACCTAGATGAAAACTTACATGCAACCTTGGAATCTAGTGACTTTGGACCATGGAAACCTTTGTTCTTCAATAAAGGACCTCAATTTCTGAATGAGGCCTAATTTATCACTACATCTTAGGGAATTCATGGCTACAAGAATTTGTCATGCTAGGCACTTACTCAGATTTGCAGTTTCCTTGCACTGCTTCAGGACCTTCCTCGGCTTTGTTGCAACTATGTCTAAAAGATGCAAATTGCAGTACATTTCCACAAGTTTAACTTGCCACTTCTTTTCCAATAACAAAACTGTTGAATGGTTGATGGGAGCAGTATTTGATTTTCAAAAATATGCATTTAAACTGGCATCGACACTTATGCTAGTAGAAAGTGAGCATAGTTTAGTTAAATTGTTGATGCAGTCACAAATATGCTGCTTGTAGTCCATCACATTCTCTCCAGGAAGACGTTCCCTCGACAAATATGGGAAGATGATGGTCTTGTCAATACCACACAGTTCACATGATTTTCATATTGTAGCGTCGAAAACTGAAGAGCAATTTTCTGCACTTTGCACAGCATTGAATGTCTTTGCATCTGAAATAAACTGTTGTAGAACTTTTTTGAAAGAGCAGTGTTCCATTGACAATGATTTTGAAAAACCGATATTAACAGTTACATTAGGGACTCCACTTAAAAGACAGTCATAATAGAGTTTTCTGTTAACGAAAGGATGGGAACTTTTTTTTTATATTCTAGTACTTTTATTTTTTTGCCCTTTGATAAAAACTTTTTAATTTTTTTATCAGCAGTTTTCTAAAACTTATAATGTTACTAAATTTGGATAAAGGAATGGCAGATGAACCCCAGTTAGAAGTTGCACCAAACAAGGTTGCAGTTTCATCTGTATTGGACAGAGTTGCAGCTGCAGCAGAAAGGGTTGCGCTTGCAGCACACAGGGTTGTAGCTGCAACAGACATGGTTTTAATTGCAACTGGGATGGTAGCCAGAGTCAATAGAAGGGAAGCAAAGTAATGTCTAAAGGACTTTCTCTTTTGTGACCTCTTATTTGTGTCACAAATTGCAGCTTTCAAATTTAGGATCCTTAAAAATAGATATTTTAATAACAGCATTTCTAAAAATACAGAGATTCAGACTTAATTTTGAGATATTTAATAAATTTATCACATTTTGTATCTAAAATTGGAAAAAAGAAAAAAATTATTGTAAAAATTAATTTTTCATCAGAAAAATCTTTTGGCTTCAGACAATAGTGTCCTTAATATATATTTTAAAAACCATTAAAATCTTTTTTAATTAATGTTTTAGTTTTATTGGGTTTTGTATTTTACCATTCAGAGCTGAATTTTGTGTAATATTGGATCAAAATTTACTAAAAACATTGATGATTTATATTCTTCAAGGTCTTCTGCTTTTAACTAATCACAAAATTACACAGAAGTTGAATTTTCGAGTTTTCATATAATTTAGGATCCTTAAAAATAGATATTTTAATAACAGCATTTCTAAAAATACAGAGATTCAGAATTAATTTTGAGATATTTAATAAATTTATCACATTTTGTATCTAAAATTGGAAAAAAGAAAAAATTATGGCAAAAATTAATTTTTCATCAGAAAAATCTTTTGGCTTCAGACAATCGTTTCCTTAATATATATTTCACAAACCATTAAAATCTTTTTTAATTAATGTTTTAGTTTTATTGGGTTTTGTATTTTACCATTCAGAGCTGAATTTTGTGTAATATTGGATCAAAATTTACTAAAAACATTGATGATTTATATTCTTCAAGGTCTTCTGCTTTTAACTAATCACAAAATTACACAGAAGTTGAATTTTCGAGTTTTCATATAATTAAGTACGAGGGTGGGTAACACATGTAAAAAATATTTTCACATGTCTTTCTAAAACACAGACATTTCTAAAATAATTTCATTTGTGAATAAATTCTGAAAGTTTCAGTAAAACCCAACAATTATTTGACTTTTTCAGGAATTTCCAAATTAATGTGTTTTTCAACTGAAAAAGGTGCTAAAAAACTAATGCCAATATAGGTACCTCCATTAGTTTGGTATACCTAAGATTTAAATATACTACAGATCTTTGCTGGGTCTTATGAGAAATGATGTTTATCACAGTGTAAATTATTGTTTAGTTATTTTATTTTGTTTTTTATTCGTCAACATGTTTTAAATGTTTTATTATGTAATTTATAAGACCTCTCGGTTTTAACTCGATGTAATTTATCTATTTTATTTTATTTATTTATTTTTATTCGTAAACAGTTTTAAATGTTTTATTATATTTATAAGCACTCTCGGCTTAATTTGCTGTAATTTATTTATTAATTTTAATGGCCGTATTTTTTTTATCTCTGTAAATAGTATTTATTAGCTGGTGAAATGAAACTTGATGGGAAGTGGGTAAAAACGGAAAACAATTACCTTCTAAGTATCCGATGAAAAATGAAAAAAAGAAAAAAAATTACCCGTAAACAGCTTAAATAGAATTCGCACCGTAGTGATTGGCTGTTGGTCAATCTCCAATGAAATGTGCGATAACGGGGTATATTTATAGAAGTCAGTGTCTACAAGCATTTTTCAGAGGGCGTTTCAGAGTCTGATCAGCTCTGAAGGGGTCGATTTGGTGAGGTCAGTATGATGTTTGAAAGACCCGAAACTTCCCAATGATCCATCTCCAGAACATCACTGACGACGCCCTCTAGCGCTAAAAGAGCGTATATTCAAAGCAGTTTACGCATGGGAGATAATTCGTTTGACAAACTTTTTAGAAATTAAGATACATATGTTATGAAATAATAACTTTTGCAAAGCTTAAAATTCCAGAGAGATATGGATCTTTGTTCAATTTTAAAAATTAAGGAACAATATCTGAATGAATCACAAGTTATTTTTTAAATAAAATGTTTATTTCACACATAATATAGACTGATTACATATATTATTCACTACTTCCATTAATATATCATTTATGTGTTTTATCTTTCCAGATGTTTTGGCTGTTCAAAAACAACAATGATTAATACTGAGAATTCCAATGAAGGAATAAACATTTG